CCATGTTTTTTTTTGTTTAGGTTAAAATGAGGTCTGAAGACCTTTGAAGACAGTGACCCATGTCTGTGCCAAGAAGACCTCGCGCAGACGTTTTCTGATCTGCGCACTTCCAAAAAACAAACAATCTGCGATGGCATATGTCTGCGCGTTGTCTGCGTGGCGCAGACAAAAGTGGTTGCGCAGATCTTCACACAAAAAACAAACAGCTTCTTAACATAATTTTGTAAATTTTATTTTATTTATTTTCAAAAGTTGATTCCTTTTATTATGGTGCTTAATTTTGAGAAAAAAACGTAATAAGATTTACAAAACAAAAGCATTTATAAAGGTATCTAAATAAATATATATTCTAGAAAAAACATAAAAGAAATGTTGTCGATGAGCATGGACAAATTTTGATAACTCTAAAACCAAATTTAAATACTTAAAAATGTTGATAGATATCAAGTTGGAAGTAAAATATTATTGGATAAAGGTTGGATCGAGTTGGTTAAAGTTAAAGGCGTGACTGGAAGGGTGTATGATCGTTTGACGGTTTGAAAAGAAAATATGTTACTTTTATACGTACGTAAATCTACAATTAATTCACGTGTTTCTACTTTCTAGACTGGTCCTTGCTGCATCATGCCATTGGGTCATTGCCTTTGTGGCAGTCCTTATCGCTATTTTGGATTACACTATAAGAATAAGAATAAGATTTCTCTCTCCCTCTCCCTCTCCCTCTCTACTTAATCTGCACGTAGCAGCCGTATAGTGTGGTGATTTAGATTCTGAGAACACATAGGATCGATACCAATGACCATGGTGGGAGGAGGAAACAGAAGAAGAGTTCTGATTCTATCATCGGCATTACTGTTGATGCTGATACTACTAGTGGAGGCGTCTGCCGGAGGAGGAGAAGGACAAGGGCGCATTTACAAGAATATTTCTCCGGAGGGGGAGAGACGTAAGCTTCTTGCCAATGGCCTTGCAGATACTCCACCCATGGGGTTCGTCTTATATATCTCCATCTTCTTAATTCATATAGAGCTATCCGTTAATCTAATTAGATCTAACTAAATACTACTTCATGGATTTGATTTCATTTGTTCAGGTGGAATAGTTGGAATCACTTCGGCTGCAACATCAGTGAATCCATGATTAGAGAAACCGGTGCGCCAGCCTTGCTAATTTGGCATATAGTTACAAAACAGATCATTCCAAATATATTTTCTCTTTTAACCATTAACTAATTTGTTCTACAGCTGATGCTATTGTTTCTACTGGTCTCGCGAAACTTGGATACAAGTACGTAAATATAGGTACGTATATATGTGACTACATTACTATTCGCCATTACAGATCCTTGCTTAATTTACTCCTGTTTTAGAAATACGCAACTAACTAACCTGAAAATTCAATTCTTCATCACTGTAGATGATTGCTGGGCTGAATATACTCGTGATCAACAGGTTTGCACAGTGTTTCTGATTTCTGAACGAGTTTTGATCTAAAAGGTATGAAATCTAAACGTACGTGTAATCAATTTTAGGGTAACTTTGTGGCTAGGAAATCAACATTCCCATCTGGCATCAAAGCCCTTGCAGACTATGTCCATAACAAAGGTCTTAAGCTTGGTATATATAGCGATTCAGGGTAAGATGATCAAACTATATATGATTTCTTTACTATCTTCTTCTTAAGCAACATATACCATAATCGCTTTTTTTATTTTTTATTTTCAGTTCCATGACTTGTAGCAAGACCATGCCTGGTTCACTTGGTTATGAGGAACAGGATGCCAAAATGTTTGCTTCTTGGGTATGATTGCAAATGGTTTCTTATACAACCTTCCTTTTTTATATGGGAATTATCTATGCCTTGTTTTGTAGGGTATCGACTATTTGAAATATGATAACTGTAACAATGAAGGTCTTAAGCCAACTATTAGGTTAGTACTCCCACTCCCCATGAATTTAATGTAGTACATAAACATTGTTTTCTAGCTTTATGTTTTGGTAATAACATGATCATATTCTTTCTTAATAAATGCAGATACCCGATCATGACTAGAGCTCTCATGAACGCAGGCCGTCCTATCTTCTTCTCACTATGTGAATGGTGACTTAATTTGTTTTTTTTCAACCAGTTACACTCAATATTACTTGCTATATATAATATATCAAATCAAATTGTCAGTTTCAATTCCTTCAATTTCATTTGATATGTAGGGGAGATATGCATCCTGCTCTATGGGGTTCTAAGATAGGAAATAGTTGGAGAACTACTAATGACATTACGGATACTTGGCTTAGGTAATTCCAGTATATGTCATCACATTTATGTTTAATCACAACTTGTTTTATTTCAGTTATTAATTGATGTTTGAAATTGTATACAGCATGATGTATATAGCAGATATGAATGAGTACTATGCAGATTATGCAAGACCTGGTGGCTGGAATGGTATGTTTTTATTATTTTGTTAATTTATTTTAGTAATTTGTTTTGAGATAAAGATTCATACTTTTGGAGTCGCAGATCCAGACATGCTTGAAGTTGGAAATGGAGGGATGACAAAAGACGAATACATTGTCCATTTTAGCATATGGGCCATCTCCAAAGTACGTTGCCATTTTGACCAATCTTGTTAATGTTAAAAATAATAATAATAATAATAATTTAAGTCCGGAATCATTGCATTGCAGGCTCCCCTTCTTATTGGTTGTGATGTTAGAAATGTGACAAAAGAGACCCTTGATATCTTAGGAAACACGGAGGTCATTGGTGTCAACCAAGGTAACTAAAATTGACTTTTAAAGGTCACACTTATCACAAATTTTTTTTTTTAAATCTTGAAAATCCAACCATTAATTTATTAGAGATTTAAACGTCAAACTAAAAATGTTGAAATGCTTATTATTATACATCTCCACATACAGATAAACTTGGTGTTCAGGCCAAAAAGGTGAGAATGGAAGGTGATCTTGAGGTACTTACTTTACTTTACTGAACCCATCTTTTAATAAAGAGTTTAAATTAAGCATGTGGTCGTTTTTATGCACCAAGATTTTGAGATTTTTGTACAATTTTAATTGGCAGGTGTGGGCGGGACCCCTTTCCAAATACAGAGTGGTGGTGCTGATGGTGAACCGTGGTCCAGCAACCTCTCTGATGACAGCCCATTGGGATGATATAGGACTCCCTCCAAACACCACTGTCATTGCCAGAGATCTTTGGCTTGTAAATCTCAAATCACTTTTCAACTGCTACTGTTACTGTTATTATACTGTTTTGTGATAGTTTATCATATTGGTATTGTTTATGTCGTTTGATTTATGCTTTTTTTTTAAACTGGTTTTCCAAATGCAGCACAAGGCATTGAGGCAAAGACCTGTGGGGAACCTGAGCGTTACTGTAGCTTCTCATGCTTGCAAGATGTTCATTTTGAAATCGGTATCTTGACAACTTCAAATTATACACTTTCTTGTGTATCACAATTGAGTTACAACTTACAACTTATATAATATTATGGGAATGTACTCTACGTTTATTTTTTCTCTGTTTTGAATTGACCTGATTTGTGATAGTGATTTCGTATTAAGTAATTGGAATATCATTGGTATGGATCGTTACATAATTAGGGGGTGTTTGGTTTAGCTTTTCACAGCCTAAAAGTCCTTTTTGAAAAAGAAAAAAAACAAAAAATGTTTGACAAAACAATTTTAAAAGCTACTTTTGAAGTTTTTATACAAGGAAAATGAACTTTTTGGAAAAGTTAGAAAATCCTAACTTTTTGTAACTTTTCCAAAAAGGACTTTGATCTGTGAAAAGTTAAGCCAAACACCCCCTAATCAAATTACCTAATATAATTAATATCTTTAGAACGATTTGTATTATGGACTTAATGTTGTTTTTCCACTTATTGTATTGTCTAAAAGTATTCTTTATATCATAGTTAATTTTATTCAAATGGAGCGAAATGATATAAGTAATATGATTATGAGAATAGCAAAGGATTTTGATAATTAATAGGTTTCGTAAAGTATACAACTAAATAAGGGAAAATCCCGGCAAATGGCTCTCACTACAAATATTGCCAATGTACTTTTTATTTGTAATAGCAATATACTTGTATTTTTTATTACCTATAAAAACAAAATATTTTCAATTTGAAAAGCTAAGCCAAACACCCCATAATTACAATGGACACGGCAAAAGGAAAGGGTTTAAGATTTTTCATAGGGATTCATATTGATATGCAAAAAATGACTGTTTTTTTTTAATCTTTTATTTCTTTGTTTTTTGAAAACTTAAGACCTATTTTTTATTGAAAAAAATTAATAAATATATCAAAATTTATATATTTTTGGTACTCTTTAAACACAAATTCATATTAAATAAAAAAAATGAGTATATATTCACGTTGTGAATCTAAGCAGATTCAAAATGTGAATAATAGTAAGTCAGATTCATATTGTAAATGTTAAAATTGAAATATTTACAGTTTAGATTCATACTATGGATCTGAAGATCAAAGTTTTTTTTAATCGATGTTGATGTTAATTAATAGATGACAAAAAATTGAAAATCTTGATATAATTAGTTTTTTTGAATAAATCAAAAAAA